ATATATATATATATATATATATATATATATATTAATTTATTGCATCTCAACGACAAATTGAAAGCATGCAGAAATTTTACAATAATAATTCTGCATGTTTACCTCGGTTCCGGAGTATTAAGTCGATAAATGCAACCATTAATTTTCTGCAGTTTGGAATATACTGGAAAATTCATAAGTCCGACTTTTAATAAGACTGAAAAATGGTCTTTTTATAGTCACAGATCTGCAAAAGAATTGCTGGTGTGAACAATCAAGCTTATTCTAACGGTAGAAATTTCTTCTTCTTCTATTATCTGAATAATAAATGGAATACAACTTTTGCAAAGATTTAATGATATCAATTCTAAAAACATAAATAGCTCACCATCTTTTGAAAAACGAAAAAGCTAATCAAAAATGTCCTTAAATAAAATTCTAGCTTTCAATTTCCATAAATAATTTCCAAATTTGATTTGAACAAAAGAGGAATAAAATATAGCGCCCAAAAGTGTCGAGGAAATTAATTGGCCGTTCCACTTTTTACGTATTAAATATTGCTACTGTTACTCTATGACTGATTATCGTATCACAGACATATTTCTGTAAGTTTGTTTAATTACATTTCTATTATTAGAAGAAGCAATTGAGTAATGTTATTATTACTTATTACTTATTTCTTATTACTATCATGGAACCTTTTTACGAGATGTTAAGTTGGATATAGTTTCACTGTTTGAGAATACAAGGTGTAACAGTTCTGTAGTCAGCATCACTTTCGTTTTTTATTGGTAATCATTATTGTTACTCTTATTTTAATTGTATATTGCATAGATGCTAGCAATGGGCTGATTTCACTATCTACAATGTCTGAAATATGACATTTATGAAGCAAATGCCTCGTTATGGTCATTATACATATTTGAATATCCTTAAATGTGCTGCAGTTGCCGTCACTTCTTATTTACTCTTTGATGGAATTTTTAATCGTAACAAACATTAAATGCTATTTAAAAGTATATTATTAGTTACATGAAACTGGTTACCATTACATGTTTAATATGTTTTGATAATTATTTTGAATTTTTATGAGAATATTTATCAAGTTTTTTGCAGTTCTCTTGAAAATACTTTAAAAGAAATGTCGATGACAACTACAGAAATATGCCAAACAATACCAACAACTACTACAGCTGCTAATACTGCCACAGCTACTATGGCACCATCCCCATCAGTTATAGATATTCGAATCGCAGAATTTGTTTCACGACGTCGTGGAATTGGAAAAACTTTACCTGTTGGCTGGAAACCACTGTTACCTCCTACTGATACTGTTCGGCAGATAATATGCGATCAAATTATGACGCGACGTAAGGAAGAGGAAAGAGGTTTGTTCCATCTCATACTTTTTTCTCATTTATTTTCGAATTAAGTAAAAGTAAGAAAAATTATACACTTTGGCAGCTAATTTTTCTTTCAAAACTAGTTTTGTAAATAATTAAATAGTGCAGTATTTAATATTCATCTATGGCTTATAATTCATTATATTTTTAATGATATGTTCAAGAAAAGCAGGATTATTACTTGCATATAGATCGTGCAGAACGTGCAGCTCGGGCCGAGGAGCGGAAAAACGAAGAAGAAAAACACGCTTGGTACAGGGAGGAAATCGCCAAATGTGAGAAAAAAGTTAGATACATTTTCAGATTCTATTGTGTGTTCCTATGTTAAAGTATTTTATTTGCTTTTGCCTTCGATTTATGGGTGAACATTGCGCAGAAATTCACTCTTATCAGTTTGTAATCCAAATGCATAATGCACTGGCTATCATCACTTTGCATATTTGTGTGTAATTGTATGTTTCAGATTCAGTATTTGAGTGCTAAGAAAATTGAACTTGATGAAGCCAAAAGTAAGCTGTTTGCTGAGCTTAAAGAAGTAGTTGCAAAATCAAAAGATCGGACCCAAAATCAACCAGCATTTTATAATCATTTGATTCAGTCACAAAACCGTAATAAAGTTTGAGCAAATTATAAATAAAACCAGTTACATTTTATAGTTGTTTTAGTAACAATACTTTTCCAAATAAAGTGACAGAAATATGCTAGCTTTTTATGGATTAGAACAAAATATCATTCAAATTATTCGTCAACTTTAAGGTTGTTAAAATTTATTGCTACAAAATATTTTTTTTTATTTTTGGGATAGTCGTTCTAATCCAAATTAAAGTTTTCTTCTCAATCATTCAAAGAATTGAGATTTAGCTACATTTGCATACTCCTAATCACAGTTTTTTTAAACTCATTTATATGTTATTAGGTACACTTTTTGGTCGTTTTCAAGACGGCATGCCTTAAATTTCAAGTTTTCAAACAATTGATCTCCATGATATTTTAATTATTCAATGGTGAGGCCAAAATAATATGAATTTTTCAATTTACAGGTTCTAGTTGACGAATATGATTATATTTAATTTTTTTTAAATGATACTGTTTCACATTCTGGTGAGTTTTAAGAAGTTTTGCTCATGTATATATTGTTTTATTTTCAAAATAATAAGCATGTTGTGTGCGACAGGCAATTAGACGTTTTTTTGAATGCACAGGTACTTGATATTGTAGTCATAAATGTTTTGCTTCTGATTATTTTGTGCCATTTTTTATAATTCAAAATTTATCGGTCCAGTTTGCTGCCTTTTATTTTTACAATCACTTTTAATTTGATGCTCCAATTAATACTCACTAAAGGTACTGTTGTTGTACTTAGCAAAATCATTGCTGAGCAACATCATTGATTTCCATATTTCAGTTAAACAATGCATTATTCATGATTGTTTGGATTTGAACCTCATGCAAAATGATATTGAGTGTACATTCTATAATAGTTCTGTTTGATGTGTAATGTAGTAAGTAGTGTTCTGTTAATTTATTTGTTTGTAAATATTCAGCATATCTTCGATTTTGTTTTTTGAATAAGTAATTTACATTCTGAAGCGAATTATACTTTTCGTTGTTTATCAGTACTTTTTTCTTTGCAAATAATGCATGTTTATACAACTGTGATATCAGTTTTTTATAAGCCGTAATAAAATGCAATATTATCATATTTAATGTACTACAGCAATCATAAATACAACAATAATATCTGCTAGAATAATACACTTATAATTGCACCTCACGTGATATTTGCCATACTGCCAACGATGTGAATAAATAAATGCGTAGATGGCGTGAAATGTTTTGCAATTAAAAAAATAGGCATGTGAGGCACTGCTGTTTTGTTAAGTGTTTATACATCTTACTATGTTTACCTATCATTTAATCTGTGATTTACTTTATTATTTAGTGCTACAAATATTACCAGCGCAATCTGGATAATAGTTTGCTGTCATTTATGAATGTGAATTGCAAGAAATTGTTGCTCAGTCATATTTTATTTATTTTTTGTACTAAATTATTAAAACGAAGTTGATATTTCACACTTTGAGCAACAATGTATGATCATATTAAGGTGTTTCAGTTACGCTACTCTGTCTTAATAAATTACATTCTATTAAATATTGTTTTGGCAAAAAACGCTAAATTCGCCCTAAATATTAGTTAGCTCAATTCATTTTTTTTGTTACCACTTTGAGATAAATTATTTGCTATTTTCAAATATATAAATAAATAAATACATATATATATATATATATGTGTATAACTTATAATGGGATAAATGGCTTCATTTATAGTCGAATGTTATAATTAAGTCTATCAGACTCAAATTCAAAACTAATCGTATTATTAAACGTAATTATTTAATAATTATTTAAATATGTTTGAATATAAATAAATAATAATACACTTATTCATACAATATTTAAACATTGTATCCTTCAGTGGATTGAATAGTTGCTTTCTTAGTTTGAAACTTTAGATTTGGTTATGTTTGCTGAATAATTTTATGATGAATTATGAATGAAAGTGTTGAGTATTGTTTACTAATTTCTTGCTCGAAATTAAATTTAAAAATGGAGGAAATTTTAACTTTAAGGTCAAATTTTACGCTTGAAACAATCTTAAATAATGCAATTATGGCTCAACCAATTTTAATTCATATTGGAGATAATAATGATATAAAAATCGATGAAGACGATTTTCGAGTGATCAATAAACACGGTTAATTATGAATATTTAGATAAACATGGGTTTCCACGTTGTTATGCATTAGAATCTCTGATTAAATAATCATTATCTATTTTCAGTACAACAATAACAAAGCATAAGTAATAAATACATGATTTTCCTTTAACCCATTTGAGAATGAAGTAGTATTAATCCAGTCAAAGAAGTATGAAGATGGATCAGCTTTTATTTGAGTTTTTTAAAAGTATGTGAACTTTTGCCAATGATTCAGTTAATGGTGTAATTTTATCGAGTGATCGTTCACTTCATTCAGTAAATTATTTGCTATTTCCAAAATCAACTCAACTTTGCAAAATTATGCATGCAAGGATAAATACTTTTTTTTTGGATTACTAAATTATATTATCTTAAAATTTTTCGGCATATTAATTCATAAATAAAATGATTTTAAGATAATTTCTTGATAAAAAGACTTCGAAAAGTTTGGACTAGATAAATTGTACATGCTAGATATTCGTTATTTTTCAGAATTAATGTAAATCTGATTTCAGAAGAACTATCAAAACTTCTAGCATTGATATAATATAGTATTTATATAACGACACTTTTAAACATTCAAATATATAATGATTTGTTTCAATTATAACAAAACCTAAATTGATTCAGCTCATAAAATTAATATTTAATTAGTACATTATTATCTTTGATACAACTCTTGTTGTTATGTCCAATATTCATATTTTGCTAATTTTCAGTCTAAATAGCACTTTCTGTTAATTCTGTGCACCATTAATTCTTTTTCGAATATAACAGATGAAATTTGAATTGGTCATAAATAGATCATAGATTTAACAAAATTAAAATTCTAAAAAAGTATCTGTTACAGTCAAATTGGTTATTACCACTTTTTTTTATGTTTTTGGCTTATTCACTATTTGAGAAGACTTTTTTTAACTCATATAACTGCATGAAAAATTACAGGTAACTGATAAGACAGGATGAAATAGATTATCGCTCAAAAAGGTTCATTAAATAGCACAGAAATTTCACTGACTCTATTAATTTATTCTTAAAACAAGTCAGTTAAGTGAATATGCACGCTGAAGCATAATTAATCTGCTGTTTCACATGTAAAGTTATTTTCTAAACAAATCATTAAACATTTAAATTAACTGCCATAAAGATTTTTTATCCTAATTTGTTTAACAAATTTAAATGGTATTTTAAAAAATTAAGCTTAATTTGCAAAAGAATGCACTCACTATATTAGTTAATTCTCAACGAAAAACTGTTCAGCAGCATATTATACACAACAAATAGGTAGATCAGTAACCAAATTTGAATAATTTTATTACAAGGGATATCTTTTCAGAGCAGTCTGATTCAGAAACAGACTGGCCGTCTGTACGATTAATTTCTGCAATAATATTTTTTGGTATGATTCAAATGTCAGTGATTGGAATGTCTGAATGGCCTTATATGAAAGAAGTAAAGTTTAGCGACTATATACATCTAATTCGTAAGATCTGTTTATTAATTAAGCACAATTAACTTAAAGATAAAATTGCTTATTGCTTATGAGCGGTGTTTGTATATCATTTTAAAAAAGTCAGTTCAGAAAGTTTATTTTGCTGTAGCAATATTTTATGAAAAGATTTGCATTATATAATTTGTGAAATTAAAGATTAACACTAAATCCGTTTCGAATGTGAACTTCAAAATTATAATTTAAATAATGATTTTGTTTTAGATTGATCCATTTGCTACGTCAACATTTTTTGGCTTAGTCATTTCAGTGTCTTCATTGGGACATGCAATTTGCGCTCCACTGATGGGCTATTGGAGTTCAGCTATCAACCGAACAAAGTAATCCTATTACGGCATATTAGCAAGTTAATAAATTTAATCAAAACTGATTAATGAATACACTGAAAAATTATTTACAAAAAATAAAAAGTTCTGTATACTTTTATTTACATACCCTTGTGATTGTACAACTTTTACTATATATTTTAGTAAATTTATTAAAAAATATTATTGCATAACAATAAGAACTACTCGTATTTTTCATTAAAAAATAAACGAATTATAAAAATATTTAAAAAGGAATTATTAATTACTGATGTTATTACACGTTTCAGACCACCACTTGTTGCTGGTAGACTTATTGCACTGTTTGGTTGCTTACTTTATCTGTGCTTGGAGTTTTTTTCTAGTGGACGTCGTTACATTATGTTATTTTGCTATACAATTTTTGGCATTTCAATGAGTGAGTGAAAAATAATTAAAATTATTTGTGTCAACAGAAAAAATTGAAATTAAAAAATTCCGCAATTTTTTTAGCAGTAGCAAATTTTAACAATGGCATTCAAGATTGAATCAATTTTGGAAGACAGAAAAATTCATAATCTTAATAATTTGTGAAAACATTTGCATTTAATGATCTGTTAACAATAATTATAACGTAATTAACCATGTAATATGATTGTATAGCTAAGGCAAAAAAGTTGTCAAATATCTTAATTTTAGGTTCCGTAAGTGTCATGCGAGGTTACGTTGCTCGGATTAGCACACTGAAGGATAGAGCAATGGCTGTTAGCTTATTTGGATTAGCAATAATGCTTGCCATTGCTGTTGGCCCCGGTATATTGCAATAAGTATTAAAAATTTTTTGAAAAATAAATAAATTGTTGAAAAATTACTTTACAAGTTGTACTTTTTTAAAATTAAACTTTCATTCAATACTTTTGAGTTTCATTAAAATCAAATTTTAAAGAATGCAAATTGCTTATGCTTCGTTTTCTCGCATATTTTTATACTGAGAAAAAAAAAGTAAAGGAAATAGTTTGCAAAAGTTAAAAATTATTCCATTCCTGTTGTGATAATTAATATGGAATAATTTAAAGCAAATACCGATGCTTGTTGCTCCAAAATACATTTTTGCAAGTAATTATTAAATGCAAGATTTTTCATACTAGCCTTACCCTAATTTTCAACTCAATTTGCATTAATAGGAGTTATTTTTAATAATTTCATTATCTTTTTGCTGTTTCAGTATTTCAGTTATTGTTTACTTCTCTAAAATATCCGGGACTTAATCTTGCAGCAAACAAGCTACTACTCAACATTTATACTGGACCAATTTATGTGGCTACTTGTTCTAATATCATTAGTTTAATCTTGATTGTTTGCTTTTTTAAAGACAGAGACTGCATTCTTCATGAAAAATCTGAGATAGGTTAATTTTTTAAATGTAAATTTATGATTACTGGTTATTCATTGCTTGTAAATGATTTGATATTTATTGGTGATTGTTAGCTGGAAAAAAATTTAGAATCGGTAACCAAAGGGCTAGTTTTCATTTACAGAAGATATATAACATTCATTTCTTGAGCTGTCTAATTGAATTTAATGTATTCAAATAAAGATTAGGTTCTAATTTTTTTTCATACTTTCAGTATTTTTAATTTTTATAATCCCAAATTTTTCAACTTAAAATGATTGAAGTCAGATAAAAATAAGTTTCATGATTAGTTATAGCGAAATAAACATCTAAACACAATTACATTTTTTTAGGTCATTTTAAAAAGCTGAGATTTATCTCAAACTGAAAGAATTTATACAAAATGTATGATTATTGTTCTTAATGAAAAAGTTTTGCTATTATTGCAGTAAGTAGCTAAGTTTAATAAAATATTGCTGCAACGCTAAAAATAATTGATATTTTGCTTCAATTTACCTTAACTGAAAGCAAATCTCTTTATTACAATAGAGGAAATTTAGATGTAATACGGCAAATATGAGTCTAAGTTCGATAAAATCAGTAGTCAATAAAGTATATACAAAATATTACAATTATTTGGTTATGAATGATTTGATCCAGCTAACTGTATTGTTTTTTTTTAAGTCTGTAAAAGTCCAAACAGAAAAAATACTTTATTGACTGATTTGTATTCGTTTGATCTATCCTTGGCAATATCATGTATTCTGGTACGAATGATAGCAACTCTAAGCATAACCATCATTCATACGTATGATTTTTCGTTACTATATTTCGAATTCAATCATATTTTTTGGTTTTAAAAATGTTTAAAGTTTTTGCCAAATTAGAAATTGTTATATAAGATAAAAATTATCCAAAAGTGTTAACGTAGCAAGCTTTAATTTCAGTACTTCTTCACCTTTAATGATGTCAGTATTCGACTGGTCAAGCATTAAAACGGTCCGAGTTGGCTCGTATACTCAAGCTATTGTTGGCTTCTTCAGCATGCTAATATATATTGGCTTTGCAAGTGGAAAATTCACAAAAATGTAAGCTATTAAGAACTTCTTAAACTTACATTTCATATTAAGTTTATCAGTTATTACTATAATTATTCAATTAATTTTTGGATAATTAATTTTCAGATTTTGTAACTCATACCTTAAGTTTCCGATATTGCAATCAATTCCATCTTTCGCTTATATATAATTTCATTTTTATCTTCATTCTTATTAATCATGTCTATATTAATTTTACTCAAAATGATATTATTTTTCAAAACGATAAATAGTTTTACTTTATTTGTCATATCGCATATTGTAAATTAAGTAAAAACCAAAAGATTCTTTTTTTCATAACTAAATTTTTATTAATAAAAAATTATTGAAAGTTTTAGAATAAGTGAAAGATGTGGCGCACTTGTAGCCATTGTATTATTTGCATTATTTTACTTACTAACTTATCCATGGAGTTTCTTCAGTGGAGTAATATCAATCAGAGGTTATAATAATATATAATAAATTTACTATATAATTTTTCGAAAAGTCAGAACAATTTTTGTGTATTGTGGTTATTGTAATTATTAATTTATTAATAATAACAATATCAGTAATAATAATAATATTATTATTATTAGTAGTAGTATTGTTGTTATTATTATTATCATAATTGTGAATTGCTGTGGTAACTTGGGCAATTTGCGCTATTTGAAATTTTAGAAGAAGAAAATATGACTGGTTGTGATGCTAATATTTATAAATGGTGTTTGACGTCATACGCTGTAAGTCCTGTAATATACATCGGTTCAGCAATTTCTGTACTTGGAATTGCATATACTTTGGTCGTCATTACAATAGATACATTATACTCAAAAATCCTAGGAAATATCGATCAGGTTGATAGAATTTGCATTTTTAAGAAAAACTGCACTTATTCTTGAATTAGTCATGTTCAATAATTTGCCCAATATGTACTGAAAGACTACACTTATTTTTAATTATTGTCATTTACTAACCTCACAATAATTGGCATCTCATAATAATTAATATTAGAATCTTTTTATCAATAAGTTTTTCTCTTACCAAATTATTGTCGAGATCGAACTGCAAAACATATGTTATTTGAGAGCGTAATGCAAGGGGTATTCTTATTCGCGCAAGATATTATCAACGTTTGCGGTCCTATTATCATTGCGTTAGTTTTACTTCCGTGCCTTTTAGCATTAATTAATATTGTCAAGTATGAGGTTTCAATTATCATAAAAGCCGATGAAACGCAAAATATTACTGAAATTGCAGATTCTCTTCAATAAGAAACTTTTCTTGTATAAGCTTAATAGTTCATTAAAAATTAAATTAATACTAATCAGACTTCTTGAAGTGCTGTAGGCGAAATTTATTGAACTAGCCATATGTGACTAGTAAGGTAATGGAAATACTTCAGGGTTGTAACTATTCTAGTTCAGTATTATTCAAATAAGATTAGAAACTAATATGACCGACCTATTTCATAAAAGCATACAAAATAAATAACGATCGAAAAGCTTACTTGTATGGAATTCACAAATTGATTGAGAATATAAAATTGACACCATTCTAAATATACTCTAATATTGTTTCCTCACAAAAGCATAATGATTCTCAGATAAAATGAACTATTCTACATATTTCACTCTTGACATTTTGTAGGCCAAGTTTTACAAAATGGGGGCAGAATTATATATGGATGGCAACAGAAGTAATCATAATTGCTGTATGCATCCGATGGATTATAGTATACAAGGAATTACCCAAAACAGCCACAGTTCTTGGAAAATGGCTAAGTGAGGAGCATAAACGGGTATGTTCAGTAATGGTCACTAAATAAACTCGCTGCTTACCATAATTTGTTGTGTATATATATATACAGACATGTATATGTGTAAGAATTGCTTGAAACTTTCTTCCTGCTCGACAAAAGGCATCTTTTACTTCAACACATATAACAACAGTATACACGAAACATTCTTAACAAAGTCAATTTTGTCATTTAGTTCATATTCCAAATCTGTTAGTAAATATATCTCCCTAAGTGAACTGGATAAAATCAATCGTTGGAATCTTGCGGATAACTTCCTTAAAGCTGTCAGTTTGTAAGCCTGATCACACCACATTCAGTCCATAAGTAAATCTTTAAATTTGTCATATTTCGTCCCGAGGTGTTGCCAAGCAGATATAATTTAAAATCGAAGACTAAGATTTACGAAACATCCACAAATTTGTGCGTGATCCAGCAGTTGATATGACAACCGCACAATCAATACATTACGAAAGTTTAAAGTGAAACGATAGCAGAATGCAATGCAATTTGATGAAATGCGGGCTTTATTCAATCTATGAAAAGTTTACATAAACTGTAGTTGGAAGAAATTCCGAATTAAAATTCAAGAAACTTCTTAAATGATTTGCTACCATTTCCGAATCTTCAAGTTTGTATAGGATTTCTTACGAATTGGAAGTATTGAAGACATGCAAAATTCACTATTTTGTTTGCATCGGTCAGTTCCGGGGTACAATTATCAGAATTCCAACGGCTCAGTTATATAGCAAAGATCTATATAATACATTTCATGCGTATTCAGTGCGTATTCTTTCGTTAGTAAATTCAGTTTGTCTTCTGATAATACCAGTTGTGGGCACACATTTTCCCTACAAATATTCTGTCAATAAAGGAATTACTAAATTTCATTTGATAGTTAATAATGATAATAGTTTACAAAAATAAGAATTTTGTGAATATATTGCATGATAAATTTTTCAGTTTCATATGTTAGCGAGTTCATTTTTTAGTTTCTTCATATTTAGACAATTCATAAATTCACAGTAAATAATAGCTGCAAAAAGCGTCAGATTCAAGATTCACTTTTAATATAATTTTTTCAAGCATTTATGAAATTAATTTCAAGTTGATCTCTACCTAATTTTAATTCTATTCTGATTCAACAATGAATGCTAATTGCAAAAAAATCTGATTCATGAAAAAGAGAATGTGTTATAAAAATTTTTAGATATGTAAAAACTGGTCAAGACAAACGTTGTTTGTGGTTCATAGTCTACTTCTTCATAAATTTTGCCCCAAATCGATCCATTAGTCTCATCAGTTATGATAACATTCATTGTTTCTGCACTGAATACGCATCCAGAACCTCCGTTGCACTGAACTGCATGCTGAAAAACTTTATTACGAATTATTAGCAAATTAACTGATTCAATCACAAAACAACTGAAAATCATAACATCGATTTATACAACAAAAAGTTGAGTGATACTAATCAAATCAAAGCACTATAAAGGTTAAAGAATAGTAATTACAAATTCAATTCTTTGAACTAACTTCTGTCATGTTTTGCTTCATTATTGGAAATAATTGGAGATCTAGGACCTATTAATTTTTTGAACTTTTTTTTATTTTTTGAATTATATTGTTAAACTTAAATATACGATTTTCATCTTCTTTTAATACAAAATTATTATAAATTTAAATTCAGTATGAAATCATATCTGTCAATAAATGTGATATTTAATTAAGAACGAGATTTAAAATTATAATAATATCAATAAATTTACTGCTTGCTAGCAATTAATTTGATAAAAACACTAAATTTATTAGGAACAAAAATTAGTTCAATTCATTTTTTTAAGATGAAATTTAAAATATTGACCAAGTGCAGCGAATATGGAATTTTATGACAGTGCTCATGCAAATTCATCACAAAACCACAAAGTAAGCAAAGATATTGGTGCGTGACAAGTTGCCGACATTGAGGACATCGACGATTACCAATGCAAATTTTCAGCTCATTAAAAGTTTTTGGTAGTTCAATGAGAGAAAATCGACGCCAAATCAGTGGTTCACGACGAAAATGCTGCAATTGAAATAATTTAGCTAATAATATTCTAAATACTTTTGATGAAATCAAGAAAAATATTTATGAAAATTCTTTTCCAACTTATTGCAACCTTGACAGCTGCAAATCCTCAATAAAAGCTTTCAGAGTTTTATTTTTTGATTGCGATAAATTTTCTGATCTAAAAATTTTTTTTTAGATTTTTAAGAATTTAAAAAATTTTCTGATTTAGAAAGTTTAAGAACTGAATTAGCGTAACTATAAAATTATAATTAACACGAGTAAATTTCAATAATATAAATTTACGTTTAGAAAAATAATACATCAGTTTCCATAACATACTAATTTTTCAAACAATTAATGCTCAAAAAAAGTAAAAGAGAAGCTACTTGGAGAAAGTTTGTAAACGATAATTTCTGTTTCACTGCTTCAACTATTCTTTTGACCTGAGCTAGCGGCACTAACTTGAGAGAAAGCTTATCTTCACCTAGAAAATAAATATAATCTTGCAATTATTTGAAATAGCAATCATTTGAAATTTTTAAAAAGTCGAAATAATTAATGATCTTGACTAATCATCATATCTTACCCTCATTTCTGATCTTAATTCAATTTTCTTCTTTTTTGTTTTTCTGAATTAGTTAGAAAATTATTAATACATAAAGTATGAAAAAATGAAACAAAGTAGTCAATTACTTCCAACATGAATTTTTTAAAGGTTAAATCAAACCTGTAAGGTATTGATAAATATCCATGAAGGTTTGGTGACCTATTTCATATCCTTCTTCAAAAACTTGTATGCCACATTCGTGCCATAGTTGTGCAGTAAATCGTGAAATATCTGTACAGGAATATTCTAAAGCTTCTTCCAAATCTACTTCTTCCTTAAATTATCTTAATCAGACATGAATTAACTGATTCAATTTAACGAAATTTTCACAACCAACTTAATAAAATCATCAAATCTCATTCAAAATTAAGAAAATTTGTGATGAAACTTGCTTCATATGAAAAATATTTAAAATTATCGCTATGAATTGATAATCAAAAAAATATTACAGACAAAATTACAGTGATTCTAGTTAAATTACTGTCCGAAGTAATTAACTAAACTTGTTTTAACTTTTTAAAGATAGTTTAGTTAGCATGTGAACAATAATTTTATACAATCTATAATTCACAAAGTAATCTGCTTTCATTTAAAATTAGACCTGATTACATGCTAAAAAATTAAATTTGTCTTCGAGTTTATTTGACGAGGAGTGACCAAAGATCCCTTGGATTATGGTTTTCACAACGAATGTAAACACCTGAAATTCAGCGAGAGTACTAAAAACATTACAATCTAATAAATACATCTCGATAAAAAAAACATAAACGCATTAAAAAAATAATCAGTTTTTTTCAAAACCAAAAGATTGTTAGAGATACGTGTCACCGCCGACTTTATCAACTGCGAACAATTACCTATGTAGTTTATAGTAGTAATGAAGTTAGGAATGCAATATATAGATCCATAACATGGTAATGTATCGACATACTTTTCAACTTTATATCTTAATGAAACGTAAATTTCAACAAATTTTTACAGTTCAGTTACTGGTAACAACCTAACTACAATAAATGTTGAATGCTTCTAAATAGAAATAACTTCGCTAATTAAAAATGAAAGTGATCGTAATATCACGACTAATTTTCATTAAATTTATTTTCTATGATTAAAATATCAAAATTGTTCCAATATTAATATGGAAACACAACAAAATAGTTACGCACTCGCTTACTATTAATAGTCAAATTTATACGAAAAAATTTTCATCTTTAAATACTTTAATAGATCCAATTTTCCAAATAAGAATTTATAAAAAATACAAACTAAAATATGCTGAAAATTCACTGCAAAAAATATCAAAATTTACTTCATCACTTAGTGTGAGCTCATTGGTTCTCATCATTTGATTTACTGTCATTTGCAGAACTGCAGTAACTGCAGTTTGAATGATTTTTGCGCACAAAATCATTTGATAAATGAAACGGAGGAAAACTGAAAACTTTTGGAATCAGCGATCAAATTTATATAAATTTGTCACCAATCAACATATGAAAGTGAAATTGCTGCCGCCAATTTGAACAAATAAAAATTTATTTTTTTCAGTTTTTTTGATAAATTTGTGAATTTTTCAAGAACTCTAGTAAACATTTCTTATACAAAAGACTTTAAATCATATAAATGGTATACCCTTTTTATCATGTTCTATCAACCATGGATTAGTGATAACATAAATACTTATACGAATCAATGTTACTTTCAAATCGAATAATACCAGAAGTATACCATTTTTTTCAGAAAAGTCTTCACTATCTTCGTCATCGTTTGCCTTAAAATATTTTAGTATGCACTATCTTCAAAATATTTGGAAACAAGCATAACAAAGTTTTTGAACAAGTAAAAAGATTATCATTCATGACCTTTTTTTCTATGATAAAAAGTCTCGACCGTATTACAATTTGCAATGCTAAGAGTTTAAGTTTTCGATCTCATCAAATATTCAAAATTTTGAAAAAAAATAAAACACATCTCGATTTTCAGTACAAAATGAATCATTTTTTCAATTTTAAATACATAAAAATAATCAAAAATTTTCAAATATCTCAGTGTTTAATATTTAAATCTATATAAATCCTTCATTAATTTTTTGTTAGTAAATATACTTTGCTGCACTGAAAAATTAAATCACCTAAGAGTGGATGAATTTACATCAACTTTAAACTTTTAAGAATCAAATACACAATATTTTTTTAGATAATCAATGTTAGTGATTAATTAGATAAATTTTATGATTAAATAGAAAAGAATGATTCACAGATGAAGGTTCATTCCAAAGCCAAGGATTTGGAAGTTCTAAAATTCTATCTCCATAATTTTCAGAACTTTCAGTAAATTTTGCTCCATCTTCGTTGTTTTCAGTTCGATGTTTCTGACCCAATGCATAAGTTAGCTGCATCCATTCATATTTCGCTAACTGAAGATCTCGTTTGCTTGCTTTATATCGCGCTCCATAAACAAGATATTCTTTAAAGAAATTACTTTAAAGATTTTATGAAAATTTTCAATAATACACAATTACTAAAATAACAAGAAATAATTAATTAATACATTAATATTTCCTTGCCATTTTCAGAACTGCTAATTGATAAATGATGTGCGACATTAGTATCTCGGAGCTACCGTAATGAATTGTTACTTCTTTTTCAAGAATAAAAACTTTTTTAAAATTTGAAAACTGAATGTGAGATATAGATTTGTTACGTTAAAAATAAATTACATTTCTTCTTCTCAATATTTTTGGCTTATTAAAATTTGCTACAGGGTGAAGACAGATAAAGTTTTGTATTGAGATAATGTAATTCAGATTTACAAAGCAGGACGAAACTCAAGAACACAAACTAGCTAAAAAATAGTAATTGAGTAATTAAGCTGTTCATATCTTAAAAAATCTTAGATTTAGCCTTTTTATTGAGATGGTTTTAAAAATAAACTTACTAGTTGGAAGTTCGGCATTGCTCACTTTTCCAAAATTCATTTCTGATGTCAGAATGTTTCTTTCGCAATTGCTTCTACAACAAGCTTTTAACTGATAAAAAACTTTGAATTTCTAAATTAACTCACTCAAAAATATAAAAAATTAGTATTTCAAAAATCTGAATTCTACTTTTTATCAAGCCAATTCATTTAGAAAAATATGACCTAATCATGCCTATAGCAAAAGCCTGAACATCCTTTGGATTACTGTCGTAAAAACACTTCCGTTTTTTTGTCCATTCATGACATAACTTTACAAACATTGCAAACAGTTCGTCATACTCTATATATCTCGATCCGTCCTCATCCTAAAAATCTCAATAAATGCAAGACTTTTTTTGTCACTCTCTACTAATTTGCAGTTTAGCACATGTTGATATAGATCTGAATGATAGTTCAAAATAAAAATAAATAAAATCATAGATTAAAAACAAAAGAGTAAATATTTGACAAGTATTTATTTCCAACAAGAAACTTGTTCCAGAAAGAGCAAAAAAAATAGATCAAATAGGAAAAAAATTGCAACACTGTAGAAGAATGCATTCTGGAAATGTTAACACTGCAATGTGATAATGTAAAAAAAAATAAGTCTTTTAGAATGGCAGAAATGTCAAAACTTACTACACTAATTTTTCTCGTGGGATACATGCTGTAGTATATGTTGACACCACCTTTGCGTAAATCCTCAAATACCCTATCATGTAGCAGTCTAATCCCACACCACATGAGACTACGAATTGCGATGATAAGCGATTTATGACTTACTTCTCCAGCGAGTAAATTTAATCTAAAATATATCTTAGTGACTTTTAGAGGCAGACATTAAAAAACAATCAAATTCAAAACAGTCGTCAAATAATTAATGTAAAAAAAGAGAGAAAATCTTAAATTCTGAAAATTAAAATCAAAATTCAAATTTTGAACTGAGTTTTCGAAAAAAGTGAAATAAAATTTGAAGATAAGACAGAGGAGAGAAGAGAAATTTTTAAATCCTGAAAATTTTTAAAACTGAAACAACAAGAAGTCAGACATTTCATGACAATAGTATATAAAATAGATAGACCTTTTAGGCTTGAAACTAATTTCAGGAATAGTAGGTAAGACACAATGAACTTTTTGATCACAAACTGGACAAGCAACATCAACAATCCATTCTAAAGGATCAGTAAAAAGTGATCGATCTCGCTGAAATATACAAAAGTTAAACTGTATGCAGGTAAACGATTAAATAATTATCTGCGAAAATAAAAAAATACTGAAAAATAATTTAAGGAAGAGTTATTTAGTTCTTTTATCGAGTGATCTATTTTCTCTTATATCTAAAAGAGTTATCTAAAAAGAAAATCCACTCGAAATTAAAATTTTAGCTGAAATTTTTGTAGCACGCATTAATTTAAAAAATATTGTACAATAAAGCGGCCTTTTATTAAACTCCAATACTTTCCATATTGAATACTTTAAAGCATGATATATAGCAATAACAACAAGTTATTACATGATAAATATAAGAAAAAATGTCTGATTTATCTAGTAATTTAAAAAAGTATGATTAATATCACTGTAACAATGATAAAACATCAGATTACTGACCTGAATAGCTAAAAAACATTATATAAATAGTTAAACGTCTCTCAAAATCATTAAATTAAAAGATAACTGCATCACTTTCATGATCAGTCATTATATCATTATGAAAGATTGTTAAAAAACCACTTCTGTGCTTTTTTTTGGTAAGCATTAGTTTAGTTGTTTAATATTTATTATTAATTTCAAGAATGAAAAAAACGAACATCTCGCTCCGAAAGATAATCTTTGAAGCATCTGTAATGTACATAATGTCCACATGTACGTAAGTCGATGCCAAAAGGAACACTTATGAGACTATGATTTTCATAAAGCTGAAATTCTCAGAGATTAAGCTCTAATGTTTCGTAAATTTGAAAATTAAAAAAAAATTTATACCAGAAAATATTGGTATTTGATTCCAAAAACGAATCATTTAAATAATAATCGATTTGAAATGCATCACTTTTGTCACTTCCAGTGATAAATTTCAGTTAAAAGTACTGTAGCAATATATTACAAAGAAGTGAACTTACACAAGCCAAAAATTGCCGCTTAGACAACATGAATTGTCGTAGCAAAGGTGCATTCACACTGTCACTTCGTTTCATTTTATCAAAGAATGGAAGAAGCGAAAAGTCAGCGGGCAACGAGTGCTCAGTAACTGTAATCACATACTTCATTTGCATAATTCTTCTGAATTGCAACAAAATTTTGTTTTTAATTGCTAGTATGACTTTTTTCTTGCCTTATAATACCATCACGACCATTTTTAATATTACAAAAGGTACAATGACATTCGATTAATAATGCTACCTTGAAAACATGCAGCATATTAATAATGTGAAATTTAGATACAGATAAACCAGAGCTAAGTAAATCTTAAGCATTCATAGTAAAATGATAAAATTCAGGTTTAACACAGACAAATATAAATCCATCGAGGTAGTTGTAATATATATATATATATATATATATATATATATATATATATATA